GGTGGCGGGTTCAAACCCAGCCCTGACCAAACTGCAACAAAAAATAGCCAGGCATTGTGGCAGGGGCCTGTGGTCCCAGCTACTCGGGAGGCTGAGGCAAGAGAATCGCCTAAGCCCAAGAGCTGGAGGTTGCTGTGAGCTGTGACGCCACGGCATGGCACTCTACTGAGGCAATAAAGTGATACTGTCTCTGTAAAAAAAAAAAAAAAATAGATGAGAGGTGGGATCTTCTTTAGGAAACTGCATGAAGAGGAAGCAGAAGAGGGCAGTGGAGAAAAGAGGAGGGTGGAGGAGGGGATGCTTGAAATAGGAGGTAGGGGAGGGAAGCACATCTGGGGTCTCCTGACTTGGAGGTATCCTCTGTTCTGCTCCTGGAGGCCATCTCCCCTCACCCTCTCCCTCTGCGTGAGGCTAGGAGAGTAACCAGATCCCTGCTGTATCAGCTGGCCCAGCTCCCTGACGCCTCCCTGTTGGCTGTAAACACAGCTGCTGCACATCTTCCTATGTGTAGTGTCAACACACCCTGGCTGACCCTCACCCCACCATTGCTTCCACAGACATCAGCTGCCACCATGAAGTTTCTAGGCAATTGAATCCCAGCCCCAAATCCTCCCACTGCTGCTTAGACAACTGCCTGTGAAGGGAGAGGAGTGAAAGAGGCAGGCAGTACAAGCAGGGGTGTGGGTAAAAGGCTGGTAGTGACCCCTCCTTGCCCAGGGCCTGGTCACTCAGGAGAGGCTGGCTGGTTCACCCCGGCATCGTGCCCAGCCATGCTCTGGGAACCAGGACTAGACAGGACAGCAGGTTGGAGAGCAGCACCCCTGATGGACAAGGACATTGCTCTGTTCTAAGTTCTGACACCCCCCAGCTAGGCATTGTGAGAGTTGGGTAGTGCAGACAGGGATGCTGTGATTGTCCTCAAGAGCTCCATCTGAAGGAAACAAAGTCAGCAGCCAGAGCTACCTGCACCTAGAGATTTGGGTACAGATGAGAGTGTTATCCTAGGAGAAATGGGTTGGAGCCAGGACTTGAGACCTGGGTACAGTCTAACACAGTGCTCTGCCAACAGTGTGCCCTTGCCCCCAAGGGGTGGCCTGCACAGTGAGGGGCCAGTGCTGCCATGCCGAATGCCTGGGGGGCTGCAGCCGACCAGAAGACCCTCGTACCTGTGTAGCCTGCCGCCACCTGTACTTCCAGGGTGCCTGTCACCGGGCCTGCCCTCCAGGCACCTACCAGCAAGAGTCCTGGCGCTGTGTCTCAGCAGAGCACTGTGCCAGCCTGCGCTCTGTGCCTGGCCGTGCCTCTACCTTTGGTATTCACCAGGGCAGCTGCCTGGCCCAATGTCCTCCAGGCTTCACTCGTAATGGCAGCAGGTGAGCAGAGTAGGTGGGGGAACCCTGGGAGCAATGAGGAGGCCTCAAGAGGTCTACACTGGTCCAAAGCTGGTGCCATCTGCTCTCCCTGCCAGCATATTCTGCCACAAGTGCGAGGGGCGATGCCCCAAAGAGTGCAAGACAGGCACCAAGACCATTGACTCCATCCAGGCGGCACAGGATCTGGCTGGCTGCACCCACGTGGAAGGGAGCCTCATCCTCAACCTCCGCCAGGGCTGTCAGTACCTACTACCCCTCCTCCCAGCCACACCCCTTGCAGTGACCCCCCCAGGCACCACTTTCCATGGTCCTGGGTCCCAGCCCTGAGGGCTCACCTCCTTTAGGCCCCCTCAACCTCCTTACCCTGTGGACCCCTTACTCCCCTGTCTCCTGCTCCAGCCCTGTCTCTCCTATCCCCAGACAACCTGGAGCCGGAACTGCAGCACAGCCTGGGGCTGGTAGAGACCATCACTGGGTTCCTCAAAATCAAGCATTCCTTTGCCCTTGTGTCCCTGGGCTTTTTCAAGAACCTCAAACTAATCCGGGGAGACTCCATGGTAGATGGGTAAGGGATTAGAATCAGGCCTCTGGCCAACTCCTTCTATTATGCATCCTCCCCAACAATCTCAGAACAGATGTGAAGAGAATGGGCTCTAGAACCAGTTCTGCTACGTAGCTGTGTGACTCTGGGCAGGTTACTTAACTTCTCTGTTCTTCAGTTTTCTCATCTGTAAAATGGGGCTAATATAACATGACTTACTTCTTAGTGCTGTTTTGAATATTACCCAAGTTGTTATGTGTAAAGCACTTAAAACAATGCTGGAACACAGCATATACAATATAAATTATAGTTAATATAATTTAATTTACATGTAAGCATAATTCTTAGCATGTAATCATCTCAGCAAGGCTGAGCAAGGCTGAGCAAGGCTGAGCAAGACTGCCTGGGTTTGAAACTCATTCCCTTCCACCCACCAGGCAAGGCCTACCTTGACTATAATAGAGCCAGAATTTTCAAAATAAAAAAGAATGTTTTGGCTAGGGGAGGTGGCTCACTCCTGTAATCCCAGCAGTCTGAGAGGCCAAGGTGGGAGGATCACTTGAGATCAGGAGTTTGAGACAATCCTGATCAAGAGTGAGAACCCATTTAAACCAAAAATAGAAATAATTAGCCAGGCATGGAGGTGCACACCTATGTTCCCAGCTACTCAGGAGGCTGAGGCAGAAGGATTATTTGAGCCCAGGAATTTAAAGTTTTGGCAAGCAATGATCATGCCACTGCATTCTACCCAGGGTGACAGAGTGACACCTGTCTCAAAAAAAAAAAAAAATTATTTGAAATTACCATCCAGTCAAGTGGTTCTCTGAGGCTTCTCCTGACTCCCACACATTGCTGGACCTTACTGGAGAATAGCCTTAGACAGCAGAATCTGGTATGTAACAGGTACTCAACTAAACCAAGATGAGGGAAGCTGTTGACCCCATTTCACTGATGAGGAAAACAGAGAGTGGGTAACTTGGGGAACATCATACTCCCAGTCAGTGGTTCAGAGTGGGGGAGGGAATGCCCAGTGTTCTTGGTGTGTGCGAATGCCTCCCTGTGATGGGTGTGAGTGAGTGAACACCCTGAGTGCTAAGTGTGAGTAAATGAATGCCTCCGTGTGCTGGGTGTGAGTGAGTGAACGCCCTGAGTGCTAAGTGTGAGTAAATGAATGCCTCCGTGTGCTGGGTGTGAGTGAGTGAACGCCCTGAGTGCTGAGTGTGAGTGAGTGAATGCCTCCCTGTGATGGGTGTGAGTGAGTGAATGCCCTGAGTGCTGAGTGTGAGTGAATGCCTCCCTGTGATAGGTGTAAGTGAATGCCCCCACGTGCTGAATGTGAGTGAGTGAAGACCACCCCGTGTGCTGGGTAAGTGGGCCACTGATGCTCAGCAGAGCCCCTCCAGGAGGAATCCTGTAAGCCACCCCCACTTCCCATGCTGTGCCCCCACCTCCCTGCAGACCACAATCCCCTGGCCTCCCGCAGGAACTACACGCTGTACGTGCTGGACAACCAGAACCTACAGCACCTAGGGTCCTGGGTGGCTGCGGGGCTCACCATTCCTGTGGGCAAGATCTATTTTGCCTTCAACCCCCGCCTCTGCTTGGAGCACATCTACCAACTGGAAGAGGTGACAGGCATGCAAGGTCGGCAAAACAAGGCTGAGATCAACCCCCGCACCAACGGAGACCGCGCCTCGTGTGAGACCCCGGCCCGGGACAGCGAGTATATGCACAAGACACCATCAGAGATGTATCAAGAGATATACAGGAACCCCAGATGCTCACACACTGAAACACACTAGACATGCCCCTGGGCGGGAGGGGTGCTTGGAGGGGGCAGTTTGAGGAGTCCTCTTCAGAGGTAGTATTGGGGATGAAATGCTGAGGGGTTGGGTCAGAGCTCAGGCAGGTGGCAGGCACCATTGAGAGCAGGTGTTCACCCTTCACCCCACTCCAGGCCAGACTCGAACGCTGCGTTTTGTGTCCAACGTGACAGAGGCGGATCGCATCCTGCTCCGCTGGGAGCGCTATGAGCCACTGGAGGCCCGTGACCTGCTCAGCTTCATCGTGTACTACAAGGAGTCGTGAGTACTGGAGCCAGGTCAGACCAGGCCAATTTCCTCAGGACAGCAGGCTCCAGTGGGGCTACCGGAGCCAGAGAGCTGGGATCCCCATGTCACACTCCCTTGTAGGGCCCATGCCTGGCTCTCTCACCTCACTTTGTTCATCACTATGTGCCTCAGTTTCCCCTTGCCAAGTGTAACAGAACAGACAATCAGGGCTTCTGATTGCCCAGGAGAGCCATCCTGCTGGGAAGGCGAGGATAATTAAGCTTCAATTCACTATGCTAATGTTCCATACTCACCACATGCTCCTGCCCCAGCAGCGGTTTGGGGAGTGCCCACTAATTCGGCCAGTTTTATGAGCAGCTCTGCCAGCATTTCATTTAAGCCTGAGGAAGGGAGGAAGCAGGGACCGCTAGGGACCAGCTGCTCTTTTCTTTGGAGAGAATGGACTGACCCTAGCAGGACAGAGAGTGGATACACCACAGGAAGGACATCTCCAAAAACATGGCTAGGAATCAGGAGATATCCTAGGTGACAGGTTGGGAGGGCAGGAGTGAGGAGTACTTGGTCTGTCTATGGTAGAGTGAAGATGGGAGCCATCTGGCTTGAAAACATTTCCTATGAATTATAATTGAGGTCCTAGCTGACCACTAGCTCAGGGCCTGGCCAAAAAGGGCAGAGGAAGAAAGTGGGTGGTAGAAAAACTATTCAAATGGCCAACACTCTCCTAGGCCTCAGTGGTAGATGAAGGTCTCTAGCATAGGGAGCTAGACAGTTTATTATATACAGATCCTGAGCCTCACCCCCACAGATTGTGATTCAGTTAGTCCTGAGTAGGGCCTGAGAATCTGCATTTCTGACAAGCTCTGAGGTGATGCTGAAGCTGCTTGTCTGTTCATGATCCCACTGTAAAGAGCACCAACACGGACTGCAATGTCAGTGGCATTGCAGAGCACACATCGTTCACAGTCTATACAAATACACCACTGTCTCTGGGCTCAAAAGGCAGAGAACTTTGGCAGTCCTTCAAGAAGCTTCCCTAAAACCGCTGGCTTGCAAGTGGCTGTGGTCGTGCTCCCACAGAGGCATACACTGTGGATCCTGGTCCAGCTCTGGTTCTGAGCATACCAGACCAATTCATACCCCACAAGGCACCTGCCCCCACGGCACCCACCCTAAACCTGCTCCCCTACCTGCTGCAGGACTACCCTGCCTCTGAATCCTAACAAGGACGGGCACTTCCAGCTGTGCCTCAAGTTCTCCCACCACCACCCCCTTTGACTTCCCCTCAAGTTTTGTCCCTAGCTTAATGTGAATTCCACCTTGTCCCCTTCCAAAGAAACACCATGAACATCAGTGATGCCCCATTGTCTCCCTGGTCTACTGGTCTGCTTTGATATCTCCCCTAGGGAGCAGACCCCTTCTACCCCTAAAGTCAGTGGTACCTCCCCAAGCCCTGCCCCTGCCCTGGCCTCCGGGAAGTCGGCACTGGTTGCCTCTGGCTCCAATTAATTTCCCTGTGGCAGTGGATATTGGCCTTTTGGGCTTGTAAGCATGTTTGAGAAGCTGCTGAAAGTTAGTAACCCTCTCTCTAGAAAAGCACACATGTGCAAAGCTTTGTTTATAGCCACAGATCTCCAGAGTAGGCCTGGATTAAAGGCTCTACCCCTGGAAAAAGTGGTGTCCTAGTTCTGGTCCCAGACAGCCCACTCTAAGGGATTAGAATAACCTTACTGCTTGGTGTTCATAGGAGAGGGGATTCTTTCATACTCACCTTCTAGTTTTATTCATACAATGCAAGATTTTTAAATAGTAATTGAAACTAAAGCTCATTATGCTAAGGATGAGGAGATATTTCATCACAAATTTGGCTGGTGACACACAGATATTATAGGACCCACAGGGTCTAAACAGATGGCTGGAGTCATGGTTCTGCCTTCATGCATACTGGAAGAAGAATGACTATGACAGTCCTGGGCTACTTAAGAGAGGGAGGTGCTAGAACCTGGGGTTGAGTTGAGCCACCCCTCAGCTCTGGGGATGGGGTGTTCAGCCCATTCCAGAATGCCACTGAGCACGTGGGTCCAGATGCCTGTGGAGCCCAGAGCTGGAACCTCCTAGATGTGGAGCTGCCCCTAAGCCGCACCCAGGATCCAGGGGTGACCCTAGCCCCCCTCAAGCCATGGACACAGTATGCAGTGTTTGTACGGGCCATCACTCTGACCACTGCTGAGGACAGTCCCCATCAAGGAGCCCAGAGTCCCATTGTCTACCTCCGAACCCTTCCTGCAGGTAGGCTGAAGTGTTTGGAGGGGCATTTCAGATGTCTCCAACCTATTGCGAATGAGGGGACCCAAGGACCAGAAACAGAAAAGCTGCAACACTAAACAAGTAGCCCATAAAGGCCAAGAGGCCAGATACTTGAATCTCAGAAAGAATAAAGGGCATTAGCATTGGTTCTAGGGAGGTTCCGGGTGAGGACAGGACAGGGTAAACATTTGAGCAATCTCAAGGGTCTGTGGAGCAGAAGAGGACAGAATGAATGATGCATTCTAGGAAGGAGGGTTGAGAGTTACCTACTATACTGGGAGAAAGGGGGACTGGATTCTCTCTCTGGGTCCAGTATTCAGAAAGGAGACCCACGACTGTTGAGTTGTACCCTGCTCACACCCCCAGCGCCCACTGTGCCCCAAGACGTCATCTCCACGTCCAACTCTTCCTCCCACCTCCTGGTGCGCTGGAAACCACCGACTCATCGCAACGGAAACACTACCTACTACCTGGTGCTGTGGCAGCGGCTGGCGGAGGACAGCGACCTCTACCTCAACGACTACTGCCACCGCGGTGCGCGGGGAGGGGCGGGGGGTGCCCCTGCTGTGGGCCGGCGGTGGGGGCGGGCAGGGGGCCCGCTAATCTAATCGCGGTGTCCCCTGCCTCGGCCCAGGCTTGCGTCTGCCCACCAGCAGCAACGACCCCCGCTTCGACCGCGAAGACGGGGATGCTGAGGCCGAGATGGAGTCTGGCTGCTGCCCTTGCCAACACCCGACTCCGGGTCAGGTCCTGCCCCCGCTGGAGGCGCAAGAGGCCTCGTTTCAGAAGAAGTTTGAAAACTTCCTGCATAATGCCATCACCATACCCAAGTGCGGGGCAGGCAGCGGCTGGGCGGCTTGATGGCGGGCCGATTGGGCGGGGCCGTGAGGGGCGGGGCTGTGGGCAGGAAGGGTGGGGCTACGTGAGAGGGGCTTATTGTCATATTGGTGGGGCTTGGGTTGTGGGTGGATTTGGGAGTGGTGAACCGCTGCAGAAGGCACAAGGGCGCGTTCCACACAGGCCAGACAGGGCTCCCTTGACCTCCCCAGGTCCCCTTGGAAAGTGACGTGGGTCAACAAGAGCTTCCAGAGGTGAGCGGGGGGCGGGGGCGGGGGCGGGGCCGGGAGCCGAGGATGTGGCTCCGGGGCTGGGCGGTGGCTCCTACTCATGCCCTCCCCAGGGACGCAGAGCGGCACCGCCGGGCCACCGAGTCCCTCCGGCTCGGGGGCAACAGCTCGGATTTCGAGATCCAGGAGGACAAGGTGCCCCGAGAGCGAGCGGTGCTGGACGGCCTGCGCCACTTCACAGAGTACCGGATCGACATTCACGCCTGCAACCATGCGGCACACACCGTGGGCTGCAGCGCTGCCACCTTCGTATTTGCGCGCACCATGCCCCACAGTAGGTGACACACACACGCGCACACCTACTTTCACCACGGACCCTAAAGGCCCTGTAGGCTCAGGGCTCTGACTAGCGGGTTTGACCTCCCTCAAACTCCAGAGCCTCGCTTTGCTCTCCCCTCCCAGTTCCCTTAATCTCGTAGCTTCTTTCCCGAAAGCTCCCAGTTCAGCCCAGGTTAGCCTGGGTTTGAACATAAGAGAGGAACTACTTGTGGCACTGCTGCCGATGCCCCCTCCTGCAGGAGAGGCTGATGATATTCCAGGAAAGGTGGCCTGGGAGGCGTCGAGCAAGAGCAGTGTTCTCCTGCGCTGGCTGGAACCACCAGACCCTAACGGACTCATCCTCAAGTATGAAATCAAGTACCGCCGCTTGGGAGAGGTAGGTACCTAGGGAGCCTTCTATTCCAGACCCAGTTTGTGCCTCTATCCCCTTCCTAGACAGCTGTTTTGTGTTACCCTCAGGAAGCCACAGTGCAGTGTGTATCCCGTCTTCGATATGCCAAGTTTGGGGGCGTCCATCTGGCCCTGCTGCCACCGGGAAACTATTCTGCCAGGGTTCGGGCAACCTCACTGGCTGGCAATGGCTCCTGGACAGACAGTGTTGCCTTTTACATCCCTGGCCCAGGTATACAAAGCTCTGCCCCAGACCTGTGTCACTGAGCCCCACCTGGTCCCCACCCCACCACAGGCCCCTCCACCCATCTTTCCCCCATCTGCATCCCTTGGTGTGCAGAGATAAACATCACCTTCCCTGTGACTTCTCCATCTTTGACCCTGCCCTCTGCTACCCTCTGACTCTGTCCTGTGACCTTCAGAGGAAGAAGATGCTGGAGGGCTGCAGGTCCTTGTCACTGTCACCCCTGTGGGCCTGATGCTGCTCATCATTCTTGCTGCCCTTGGTTTCTTCTACAACAAGAAGCGGTAATGATAAATCCTAGCCAGTCCTTCCCCCTCTTCCCTGAGCCCTCATCAGAAGGTCAGTGCAGTTGGAGCAGGAAAAAGCTTTCTAGAGGCAGTAACCTTTCCCCTGAGAATACATGTGGAGACACACCTCTTTTCCAGGGCTAGCCTGGGACTTTCCTACTTTTAGCAATGAAAGTCCCGCATCTTGGGAAACAGTCTAGGCACACTGGGGCTATTGGTCACCACATTCTCAGCTCAAGCTGAGAAATAAAGAAGCTGGTCCTGACCTACCAGGGGGAGAGGAAGTAGACCTCAGGGTATATCCCAAGATGCCTGATGCCACATCCCTTTGTGGCTGGCTATAAAAAGGAAATGGGGACAGGGCCTTGATTAGCTGGGCTCCAGAGACTAGCTGAAAGGGCAGGAGCCCTTATACTCTTGTATCCTTCCTATCCCATCCTGTCAGTTGCCAGGGCTAGGGCCAAGACCAACTTGGAAATAGCTTAGGGCTCACTGGGGTTCACCCTGACCCCAGGGCCGGAAGCATGGTCAATAACTTCCCTCCTTGGCTCAGCCCCATACTCCAAGGCTGGCGGGTTCAAACCTGACCTGGGCCAGCTAAATAACTGCAACAAAAAATAGCCAAGTGTTGTGGCAGGCGCCTGTAGTCCCAGCTAATTGGGAGGCTTAGGCAAGAGAATCGTTTAAGCCCAAGAGCTTGAGGTTGCTATGAGCTGTGATGTCACAGCACTCTACAGAAGGTGGCATAGTGAGACTGTGTCTCAAAAAAAAAAAAAACAACTTCCCTCCTCCATGAAATATCCTTCTGACATTGCTCAATCCTTCCTGAGGACCCTTCCAGTCTAAGCCCGTCATCTTCCATTGCAGAAACAGCACCCTGTATGCCTCTGTGAATCCAGAGTACTTCAGCACCTCTCATAGTAGGTCTGGGGGTGGGTGAACAGGTGGTGTGGGAATGGAGACAAGAAAGGAGAAGCAGACTTCCAGGAAGAAGAGGAGGGAGATATGGGTGGAGGTGCAGCAGAAGACAGCATCCTTGCCTCCTTGCAGTGTACATCCCTGATGAGTGGGAGGTGCCCCGAGAGCAGATCTCCATCATCCGAGAACTGGGCCAGGGTTCTTTTGGGATGGTATATGAAGGGCTGGCACAAGGACTTGAGGCTGGAGAGGAATTCACACCTGTGGCCCTGAAGACAGTGAATGAACTGGCCAGTCCACGAGAACGCATTGAGTTCCTCAAGGAAGCTTCTGTCATGAAGGCATTCAAGTGTCACCATGTGGTAAGGGAGAGAGTCGGGGACATTTTCAGGGTCATAATTAGGGTAAAGGTCATGTGGTAAGAGAGAAAAAGTCAGAATGAGGTTAGAGCACTATAAGGTTAGGACTAGAACTATAGTCAGGATCTTTTTCTTCTTCTTCTTTTTTTTGAGACAGTCTCACTAAGTCGCACTCACTAGAGTGCTGTGGTGTCACAGATCACAGCAACCTCAAACTCTTGGGAGTAAGAGATTCTCTTGCCTCCGCCTCTCAAGTAGCTGGAACTACAGGTGCCTGCCCCAATGCCTGACTATTTTTTTGTTGCAGTTGTTTTCCTGGCCCAGGCCCGGTTCAAACCTGCCACCCTGGTGGTATGTGGCTGGCGCTGTAACCACTGTGCTATGAGCAACAAGCCTTATAGTCAGGATCTTAATTGGAGTAGAGGTCATCGTTGGGGTTGGAGTCAAACAGAGTCATTGTAGGGTCATGTCTAGAGCTAAGATCAGTCATGGTTGAGGGTTAATATTGAGTTTCCAGATCATTACTAGGGTCATGATTGAGATCAAGGTCAAAGTTGAACCAAGTTCATGATTGTGATGATTAGATACAATGAAGGTCATGGGTTAGGATTATTGTTAAGTCGGGACTTCAGTTACATTCATTTGAGATGAGGGTCAGGATTAATGTCCGGGTCAGGTTGTGGTCCCAGCATGTCAAGTTTTTGACTAAATGATTTAAGAGGAGCTAGGTAAACCTGCAGCCAGGCTCTTGTCTGTCCCAGGTGCGTCTCCTGGGAGTGGTGTCTCAGGGCCAGCCAACTCTGGTCATCATGGAGTTAATGACCCGTGGAGACCTCAAGAGCCATCTTCGATCTTTGAGGCCTGAAGCAGAGGTAGGGACCCTGGGTGAAGGGGCTAGGGAGTTAGAGAAGACTTGGACACAGAGGGAGTGGGGGAGTCCTGCTCAGGAGACCAGCATCTAGGTTCTTTCTTCACCAGCCCCCAATCTTGACTCTAGAACAATCCTGGGCTCCCACGGCCAGCACTGAGGGATATGATCCAGATGGCTGGTGAGATTGCAGATGGCATGGCCTACCTCGCTGCCAGCAAGTTTGTGCATCGAGACCTGGCAGCCCGCAACTGCATGGTGTCCCAGGACTTCACTGTCAAGATCGGGGGTACAGAGGGTACCAGGCAGATAAGAGCAGCCTAAAAAGTAGAAAGATTCCCCTAAACTATGTATCAGGACACCTGGGCTTGGCCCATAGTTCTGGCCCCTATAGCCTATGAGAACTTCAGCAAATCACCCCTAGCTTGGCCTTTCTCTTTCAAAGGCAGAGGGGTTTGTATGGGATGGTTTCTGAGGTCCTTTGAGCCTCCACATTCCAGGGTTCTTGGAGACTCTGAAGGTGAGAGGATTGGGAGGATTGGGTATGGCTCTTTTGTCCCAAACCTCCTCCACCCTCACCCTCCCTTCCAGACTTCGGGATGACCCGAGACGTGTATGAGACAGACTATTACCGCAAGGGCGGAAAGGGGCTGCTGCCTGTGCGCTGGATGGCCCCCGAGTCCCTCAAAGACGGGATCTTCACCACTCATTCAGATGTCTGGTAGGGTTTGGATGGGGCAGAGCGCTCTGGGGGTGTAGAAATGGAATGTGGAGAGAAATCTGAGACATTCCCCTTCCTTGGGATACAATGAGCAGTGCGAAGGGTGCTGGGCTCAGGACCTCCCACATGTTCTCCAGGTCTTTCGGTGTGGTACTCTGGGAGATCGTGACCTTGGCTGAACAACCCTACCAAGGCCTGTCTAATGAGCAGGTGCTCAAATTTGTCATGGATGGTGGTGTCCTAGAGAAGCTGGAGGACTGTCCCCTTCAGCTGTGAGTCACCCTACCTGCCCCCCTCCTTATTCCTGCTCTGCCTGCACCCCCAGATTCTGGCCCACCTGCTCTGATGCTTTCACATCTGCTGATCCCCAGCTATGAGCCCCCTAGTCCTGAGCCCCCACTACAGCTCCCATTTACTCCCCTCTAACCCTCCCCACATAATGCCCCATGATCCCCTGCTCCCACTGACTGGCCCTCCCAGTGCAGGAAGCCTAGGGCTCTGGGACCCCTCTGACCCTACTCTCCACACCCGACAGGCAGGAGCTGATGAAACGCTGCTGGCAGCAGAACCCACGTCTGCGCCCAACTTTCACTCACATCCTGGACAGCATACGGGAGGAGCTGAGGCCCTCCTTCCGCCTCCTTTCCTTCTATTACAGCCCAGAGTGCATAGGAGGCCAGAGCTCCCTGATATCCCCTGATGCAGAGCCTGACTCCTCACCAACCCCAACAGGGGTTTCCTCAGACTGCAGCCTTCAAAATGGGGGTCCAGGGCACTGACGGCCATTCCATTCCCAGCTGACTGGCCTCCCATGGGCAGAGAGCAAGGGGCCCAACCTTTCTGACACTGAAATGTCTGGATGTGTCCCCAGCTCCCACTCAAATAGGCAGGGACTGAGGGTGGGGTAGAGATCAGGAGCAGAAAGGGCCATTGGAGCAGTGCCACTATAGGAAAGTTTCTCAGCAGTCTTAGTTCTCCATGGGAAAGCAAGCAGGGTCACAGCGGGAGTGGAGTTCAGGCTATGGACAAACATCCTGCACTGAGAGTGAGGGGACCTGGTCTGGAGGACCCCACCCTCAGTTTTAGGTCTCTTGTGGACATCTGGGGCCATCAATACCTTGAAACCAGATGAGCAATCAGAACCAGGCCTGGAGCCTCTCTGTCTGTGTTTGGGATGCTTAGGTGAGTGTCCATGTGACTGTTCTACTTGCCACTGCGCTTCACCCGCCACCTCTGCCTCAGACCAGAGACCTGGGCGAGTGGTTCCCAGCCTCACCTCACCTCCCCTCTTCCTCGCCTCTTGCCCCACCCAGGGACCCCCACCCCAAGCTTGGTGCTCCTCCTTCCTTTTCCCCAGAGGCATCCCTTGGTGCACATTCACCTTCTTTTCAGTCCCTCCCCTCAATTATTAGCCTTGGATTATTGCAGCTTTATGAGCCTTGTCTTGCTCCCTCCCCTTACCCACCCCCGCGCCCCGCCCATGGGAAGACTGGAGAAGGCACAATAAATGCTGAGGTCTGTGTGCACCCTGATCCCAGGCAGCCCATTATCTCTCCTTCTATATGGTGCTAACACTGAAAGAACTTCCTCTCTCCCTCCTCGGGGACTTGAGGTGGTGACCTTAAAGGGATACAGAATAAATGCACGAGCATCCAGAGTTGCCATGGCAGTGAAGCAGGACAGCCTTGCTATTGTCTCCTGCACAGGCCAGAAGTGGTTGAGCCCTGCAGGGAACCTTGCTATCTGGCCTCCGAGCAGCATCAACCACTCCCAACTATGTGTGCCCACCGAGCAAGCACTTCCTGGAGTATCACAGGACAGACTTTAAGAAAGCAGACGTGGGGTGGGGCACCATCAGCAGTTTGTGCTAGATGTCTCACAGCCAAGGCAGAGGACACAGACCAGCGCAGGGGCTGTGTGTCTGGCACCCTGTGGTTACTCTGGGAGGTCAGAATGTCCCACAAGCAGAGATGCCTTTGAGACGTGTGGACGCTGCAGGGAGAGTCAGTACCAGACATGTACACAGCGCCATGAGGGGTCTGAGGGAAGAGCGGCAGAATGACCTTAAACCTTAACTAAGTGTGTGGCAGCGGAAGGGCTGATCAGGCCCAGGACTATTTTTGGTTTCTTGCATCCGGGAGTTTGAGGCCCTAGGCCCCACCCCCCACCCCCACCCGCGCACTTGCACACCCAGCCACATGCTCCGGGTCTGGGGAGATGTGGCCTCTGAGCACCGTGTCACTCAGGCGAACAGCTGTCCAGAAAACCTCAGCTCCCTCCAGCTGGGCCTGAGCAGAGTGAGCGTGAGTCTATGAGTCTCCGTCTCCAAGACAGTGACTACTCTGCTGCCTGGCAGAGTCAGCCTGCCGGGGCCACCTGAACCGGCCACCGGTGAGGAGCCGCCCTTCCCCGGCCCGCAGGGGCGACTTGGGCAGCAGTGCCCCCTCCTGGCATCTGGCAGAACTGCATCTAAGGGAGAAGTTCAGGGTCGTGCTCCCCTCCTTTCTGAGGCTGTTCCCCGGCTGCCTGCAGGACAGTGGGAGGGAGGAGGCTGGACTTCAGAAGAGACTTCCCAACTAAAAGAGGCGCTTTGTCTCCTCTCTCAGAGATATCTAGAGACAGACAGTAGGTTGGCAGGGGGAAGGAGGAATGAACACCCGCCACAGAGGCAGAAGGGTAAATGCCGTGGCTAGAAGAATCCAGAAACATCCCTACTGGTCTTCCTTCCTCAGATTCAGACAGAACTCCAGGAAAAGTAAGCATAGAAGAAGGGCACGTTGAGCGCGCCTGTGGCTCAAAGGAGTAGGGCGCCGGCCCCATATGCCGGAGGTGGCAGGTTCAAACCCAGTCCTGGCCAAAAAAAAAAGGGCATGTCTACCATCTCTCCCCTCAAAACTGTCCCTGTGGCCTTGTAACAAGTCTTCCACCTGGCCAGTGGGTTCTGGGGACTATGAATCTTATGTCTATCCCCTCCAAACTCAGGAACAACTGATGTCTCTGAGGGGGTTGAGACAACAGGTTGGAGTCATCTGGAGGTAGAAATGGCCAAAGTCAGGTGAGCTGTGTCACAGCCAGGCCTGGCTGGAGACAGGGAGGAGTGAGCATCCACCATTTCTCCTCCATGAGGCTCTGGCCAGAGGCAGAGGGCTGCAGCTGAGGTGTTTCCTAGATGTCACCAAGTGGGAGGAAGAGAGGGGAACAAGGACATGAGAGCTCAGCATCTCTACCTCCTGCTCTTGGCAGTGTCTCATCTCACCCCATGACTCCAAGCTCACTCCCAGTCCCAGAGAACGTTGATGGGGGCAGCAGGTTACAGGGCAACCCTGGAATACAAGCTGGGGCTTTGCCCTCAGCCCAGTGTCCACACACTGTGGATGATCCCTTGTCCATGAGCTGTTTGGCTTCTCCCCCTTTCTGTGGGATGTTAGTACACAGCCCATACTGCGAAGGTCTTCCTCCTCCCAGCCAGAGGCTCCTGTGCACAGCCCCCCAGGCCCACACTGTCTGTCCCTGGGGGTAGGAGAGTCTGGGTTTCCTCTCATCCTTGTGGGGACTCACGTCTTGCCCACCCCTCACATTTGTCCAGGAGGCAGAAGGCCTGAACATCTGGGTCATCTCCTCGTCATCTACCAGGAAACTGAGCTCCCCTGGATCACACATCCAACAGGGGCACTGATGAGTCACCATTAGTGTGACAGTACCCATTGCTAGAGGGTGCATGCCAAATCAGGAGTTATGGTGGGGGTGGGGGGTGTGAGCCTGGGAACCTGAGATCAAATCCTCAGCCTCAGGTGATGCCTGACTTAAGCAGAGCTTTTTTTTTTTTTTGAGACAGAATCTCACTTTGTCACCCTCCCGAGAGCGCCATAGTATCATAGCTCACAGCACAGCAACCTCAAACTTCTTGGGCTCAAGTGATCCCCTTGCCTCAGCCTCCCAGGTACCTAGAACTACAGGTGTCCTCCACAATGCCTGGCTATTTTTTTTAGAGATGGGGTCTTGCTCTGGCTCAGGCTGATCTTGAACACCTGAGCGCAGGCGATCCACCCGCCTCAGCCTTCCATAGTGCTAGGATTAGCCACCTAGCCACCTAGCTAGGATTAGGTAGGTGAGCCACCGCACCCAGCCCTGAAGCAGGGCTTTCTAAAAGGTCATATTGCCAAAAGTGCGGGTGTCCTTGCCATTGAAGGGCATCCTGAAGGGTCATGGGGTAAGTGTTCAGAGAGGGTGTGGTAAGAAGTGGGGTGACAGTGAACCTGCATATCTGAATTTCCCTCGCTATGGGATATTTGTCCTTCTCCAAAGTCAGGAGATCTAGCCCCCTGCCCAGGATCCTGGCTAACTGAGTGGGGAATCCAGCCCCAGCTTAGATATGCCTCCTCATTCTGCCTTGGGAAGACAAGACATCTGAACAGTATGGCCCCCAGACTTAGCAAGCCAGGAGCCAGGCAAGGGGCCAGCCTCTCTCCAACTTCATCACTCCCATCACAGAAGAGGAAAGAGAAGAGAGAGAGGCAGAAGGGAGGCACTTATAGGATACAGATGGGACTGAAGTCCTAGGACTGAGAGGGGCTGATCCAGGGACACATGACACTCATCCCCACCCTCTCCCTCTGCTCAGAGTGGGGGGCAGCTCTCATGCACCAAGGCCATTTTCCAGATGCCAGGCAGAGGGAGGACAGGAAAGGATGGAGGTGCCTAGGAGTCATGAGCAGAGAGAGGAACAGACAACTAGGGATGGGAGAGACGGAGGCACAGAGAGATGGGGAGACCTCTCCACACGTGGCAACAGAAGCTCTAAGGACACCCCGGGACTTCTTACCCACCCCTGCTCCTTTGATGTCTGTGGGTCTGGCCGCCAACTCTTTCTCTCTACTTGTGAGCAACAACAGGGACACTTTCTGCTTGGTCATTTCCGGAGACAGCAGTCACATCCTGAGGGAGCATTCTGGCCCCCACCCTCTCTGGTTGTGTCAGTTAAGCAGAACTGGGTAAGAGGAGGGAGGTGGGCAGATGTGCAGGGGAGATGGGGGAGGATGGAAGAAGCAGAAAGACTAGGGTGGCAGCCGGAAGGAAATTCTGAGACTATGAAGGATTCTCAAGAAAATGAGACAAAAAGGACAGAGGTTGACAGCTGAGTCAGAGTAGAAGTGGAGAGGGAGGAGGGGCCCAGCCAGTGTCCATCTCTTCAAACAGCAAAGTGGAAATCTTAGCTGCTGCTGAAGCAGGGAGGATGGAGGAGGGACTATGGGAAGACTTCTGGGGTGCGGGAGGCACAGGCATGAAGGAGGTGGGGACAGTGGCCTCTTTATAAAGCAGAATTTCTTAAGGGAGAGACCTCCATGTTGCAAGGCCAAGGGCTGGAATAAGATAATGGATGCTGAGGGTTTTATAAGCTACAGAGCACTATGCAAATTATTGTCCTTGTTATCTAATTGTGATATCATCTTAAAAGATGCTGCGGAAGTACATTTAGTGACACAGAAAGATGGCCGTGATGAATGATAGAGTAAAATGAGCAGGTTACAAATAATATAAATGATGCCATTGTTTACATTTACACATACAAACTCAGGAAAGATCTGGAAGTGTAAATGTACTCATACATTTCTGTGCTGGGTTATGGGCAATTTGTGTCTTTTTGTTTACTTGTATCTTCTGTTTATGTTTCTTTCTTTTTTTCTTTTTTTTCCAAGACACAGTCTCAAGCTGTCACCCTGGGTTGGTGCCATGGCATCAGAGCTCACAGCAACCTCAAACTCTTGGGCTTAAGCGATTC